AGGATTGCCCACCCCTGATCTAGGAGGAAACTCTATCAAAGCTCTGTGACAAACAAAGCATTGCTAAATGAGATGGTCTGGTCTAAAGAGGATCCCCTATTTGCATCACCAGCATCACAAAGCGCAGTTCTTGTCACCGAGCAGCCTTGACAGCTTAAATTTACAGCTAGGACACCGTCAAGACTTCAGTCTTTTTAACAAACATCATCATCATCTCCACATTATACCTTTGGTGATTGGTGGAGATGGCAGAGTGATGTTAATGATGTCTATAAACTGTGGGAAACTGTGTGAATTCTGCTCTCTGACAGAAAATCCAGAAGGACAATCACCCATTCTCAAGAGTAACCAGGTTATGGAGAAAGACAATGATCCCAAACACGAGGGTAAGTCCACCTCTGAATGTCTTGAAAGAAATAAAGTCCTATTTTGGTGAAAGCAATTCAAATTCTAGACTCGAATCTCATGAGATACTGTTGAAGGACATGAAAGGTGCTGTTCATGCTCACAACCCCTCCACTGTGGCAGCTCTGCAAAGAGGAGCTGGACAAAGTTCCACCACAGCAATGTCAGACACTGATCTCTACTTATGAAATGCTTGGTTGCACTTGTTACTCCTAAAAGTGCACAACGATCTGTATAGTTAGCACTAAACGTGTAGAAATGGAGACTCACCGGTGAGTAACGTGAGTCAGCAAGTGAACATGAGGTCACATTAGGTAATGAGAGTATTACGTCATACATACACATGCATTAGTGTCATAAGTTATTGATATATGAATGCTCAGTCCTTGCCATTGGTTTAATCTTAATTTCCAGTCTTTATGCGAAGCTAAGCTAACTAGCAGCTGGTACCTGCCTCGTATTTAACAACAAGCAAGTGATTATACCCCAAAATGCCAAACTATTCCTCAAACTGCAATTCAGAAGTAAACTCGAGTGAGACATGAAGGCTCCAGTGTAACAAAATGATTATATACCAACCCGATGAATGATCCCTGCAGAGTGAATATACTGTGAAGAAGGGAAAGGGTAGATTAAAAACACACAATGTGAAACAGCTTATGAGACACACATAGACAGCAATGTTTGTGCAGCAGAGCGGGAAAACCCACAGGCACATGGTTATCTCGATGGCATGTTGTAAAGCTGTAGACAGAACAACAGTCTCCACCCACAGGTGATTGTTAGCGCTGTGTTTTGTGCATTTTCAAGCCATCAGAATCCAGAGTGCCTTTCCAGCACAAATAAGAAGAGGACACGTCGGGATCAAACACCTCTGCGACTTATTTTAAAGACAAGGCCGCTTTACACACATTTGGTCCAGTGTTCAAGTTTAAAAGGAGCTTTCTGTTTTGTTTCCGCTGAACACTCTTGGTTACACATTGACCAGCACTGACTGGAAAGGCCTGAGTGGTTAAAGGGTAAAGCAGTGACACATCCATTACACATTCAGACATGTGAATGGCATTTAAGGTGAAGACATTTATTATGCTGGTATGGGAGAACACACTGCTTTGTCAAACTGCTACCTTTGATTATCAATGAATGGAATTTCTACAGCTCATCAGAGTAACTATACTGATCCTCAAATGTATCTAGACCCTTCCATTAAAGAAAAGGCAAAATTAACAATAGTTACTCAAATATCTAGAAACTGAAAAAAAGTAAAGATAAATAAAAATGTGCTAAATTATAATTTAGTGTCATAAGACATTGTTTTTGAATTGTGGCTAAAAAGAATAATTTAAAAAATAAAAAAAAGACAAATTAGAGCACTTTGCGAATGAGCAGTGGGTCAGAATACCTGTCAACAGGTGCAGAAGTCTGACTGAGAGTTACAGGAAACAGCTGATTGCAGTGATTGGCTCAAAGGGTTGTTCAACAAAATATTAGTTTACGGGTCCCATCATGCTTGTTTTTGTTGTTCTGTTTGTTTTTCTGCTGAACCACAATTCAAAAGCAATGTCATGATTTTCATTAAATTTTTATTTATTATTACTTTTGTCGATTTCAACTCATTTTAGTGACAGCTGTTTTTTTCCCCTCTTTAATGGGAGGCTATGAGGATATGAGGATGACATGTTCAAGAGAGTTTAAAATCAATACAAAGCTGGGGACTCGGTTCACATTAAAATAACATTTTTTTAAATTTAACACTGCTTGCCATTGAGAGCGCCCTCATAGCAGACTGGAACCTGTGCTGTTTCTGTGTGGCACATTGACTGAATGTCTTTAAGTTTAAAAGACCTTTCTTGTCTTTTTTGTTACTGACAAGTTCGGCTTTGGCTCCCAGGAAGGCTTAGACCTGCCTTTGATAAATATCAGACATTGAATGAATTGTAATAAGGAAAACTAGAACAAAATGGATTAGAAAGTACAATAACAGAATCTCTTCAGTGTCCTAGTCTCAGCCATAACACCTTTTTGTGATCTCAGTGGTTAGAAGTTTTTGTCAGTGTCGTGGCCTCAGGATTGCATCTCTGCCTTTTGCAAATGATGCAGTGGATCTGGAGCATCATTTGGAGCTTCCATTTCACCCAGAGGTGGTTTGCAGTCTCAGACGCTGCATTAAAATGGGGCCTTTCACGTTGACAGTGAGTTGCTTTTAAGGCTTCTGAGTTTTATGGTCTGGCATTCACAGGGAAAGCGTTTAAAAGCCAGGTTCCGTGCTCTGCAATTACACTTTAGACAAAGTTTCACATGCTCGGTAATTATCCTGAGTGTTGAGTTGTTACGAAAAAGGATTTAAGATCTCCACAGTAAGTGGTTAAAATGAGATTTGCTCGCTTGCAGTCTGGTCTCTACTTTTGGAACGGAGTGAAAAATGGTATAATATCAAGGAGGATCAAGTAGAACAGCTGCTCCTTCATACTGAAGACAGCCAGACATCTGAGCACCCTAACCCTAACCCTGACCCTTAGCCTGGCACCTCCAGGTCAGCTCTGAGTATTTTCAACTCTCCTGGGAGACAGTATCGCTTGTCTGCTCTTACAATGCCTGGAGATTCCTCAAGAGGTGCTAGAGAATGTAGAAAAGAGAAAAAGTACACGTGGTTAGCTCTGCTTTTACCAGGGCGCTGTGTTGTGCAATCACAAAGGTTGAAATAAACTGATGCATAAATGGATGGCTTGATAGATAAATTTAAAACCAAATGTATCTGATACATATTTGGTCTTTAAATATATATATAAAAAAATGAGTTTGCCAGTATAATTAATGCCACAATAGCACCTTGTCGACATCTGCAGCTATCTCGAGATCATGAATGAATTACTCTGTTATCTCGATATAACAAAACTGTTTATTTATTAAAACAAATACATTTATCTCATTATCTCAAGGACACAAAAGCCTAACTTCTTGAGGTAACAAGATAATTTATCACCACTTTTTTCCTCGACCAGACAGGATATTTACGCAGAGCTTAAAAATGAGTGTCTGGTTCTTTAGACATGATTTCAGCTTCACGAACAGACCGATCAGCATCATGAAGGGCTTTAATGTGCACTTAGCTCTCAAAATGTTACCATTTTGAGGTGGAATGAGGAATTTCAAACTGAATTCACCTTTTTATACTCAAATCTGAGCCACTGGGCTTCTCCGATTAATGAATCAAGCACAACATTCAACCACAAACTCATTTCTGTTCAGGAATGCAAGCAAATAACTATAATTTGACATCATAATCAAGAAATAATAATGTGCTTTACTATTTTTTCAGTTTTTTCTTTGTAAAACAGTAAATTTAAAAATTCATGGATAACAATATTAATCATATTTTACTATTAAAATATCATTTTGGTTAAAGAGCTTCTCCATACTGGTGTATGAACCACTACAGAAGCTGTTAATTTTAGGGCAGCTGTGGCATAAACCTGACACTGGGTGGTGGTCTGATACATTTGTTAAGCACTGTATATTATCACATTCATTTCAGTGATTTAGAAGGCGGCACAAGACTCTCTCTGCATGTTTCACCTTGTGCTGCTGTAGTCTTACATCCTTCCAACAGTGTTCAGTTCAGACTTACTACATACTAAACATTATGTGCAAATGTAGCTGCTTGAGACCGAGACATTAGATTGCAGATTTATGGAAAGGTTGAAATACAGGATTTGTGCTTCCTTCATCTGGTGATTCAAATGCTCGCAGGGCTTCATTTTTCTCTGCCTGCTCTAGTTAAACAGCACTCGTTTTCAAAAGGCGGCAGTATGGGCTTCATATAAATCTCCTTGTAATATATTAAAAAAACACATGAGAACGTACTCACCTTCAGGCCCCTTAGAAGCTGGTAGAACAGGTATGTGATGATGCGATCAGTTAACCTCCTTTTCTTCATTATGTGGCCCAGATCCTGAGCTACAAATGGCATTACCATATAACTAAAGAGAGAAGAGCCATAGGACACATTGATTAGCCAGAACAAATATCCCTTAAAGGACATTAAGTCTGAATACTGTCGCAAGCGTTCTGTGACGTGGACATTAAATTCTCAAGAGGTAAAGAGCTCATCTCTATGGCGATGAAGTACAACTGCACAGACCAACCAAAACAAACAAGAATAAGCTTGCTCTCACATTTCCTTGCCTGAACTTTTCATGCACACACATGCACACACACAAGGTCTCAACAAGTCGTGACAACTAGCAGGAGAATGTTGTTCGTTGCTCGCAACTCACAAGGTCTGGAATTTCTCCAGCGTGGAGTCGGGTGTGAAGACGTCAAGGAGGCAGATCACCTTTAAGGACAAACATGGCGAAGATATTACGACACCAAAATCTCTGTTGATAGACACATGAAACACTTGCACACATTTCTAAACCCTAGAAAAAAAAAACACCCCAAAAATCACTTACAGTAACGGCTCAGCAACTGCAATGAAAATGAGCAACCTTTATTACTGAGTTCAATACGTTTCCCCATCGGTAAAACCAGACTGGATTGAGAGTTTTGAAAGAGCACCATTTGACAGCATTGTCTTATCAAAACTCTTTTAGAATGAAAAAAACAAAACAGCCTTATAGCAACAATGAGTTAACAAACAACAATGACTGCCACGTAGTTCTATAACCTTCGGGGAAAAAAATGGCGGCAAGTTGCATGTTAACAGGTAAAGGGTGGAAAGGGTTAATAAGTTTGAGCTTAAGCTGAAACAGCCACTTCCTCTTTTCAGTTCAATGGCAGAAGTCTTTTTGTGATTGCCTGTTTTTATATGACAAAACAAATGATTACACTGAAGCTCATCCCGAGGGGTTTTGGACAAAAATAAATGAGCCATGAGGGTTCCAACAACACACAACACTCCCAGCTAGTCAGGTCACACTGCTGAGATCAAGAGCGTTTGTTGAACGGTCAACAAAGGTTGTTGCTTATCCTCAAAATCTTGAGAGAGCGAGAGAGAGGAGAAAATGGAACCAAGATTGTGAGCAAGACTAAAACCTTTACGAAGCCAGTCTGTATCTTGGCTTCCAGAGACACTCTGATATAAAACCGAGCCTCGATATTGTAATTACATCGCATACTGAAGATTTGTTATTTATTTTTTCATGCTCGACATGCCTGTTTAAAAAGTGTGAACAACCAGAGTAAAAAAACAACAGATTCTCAGCAAATATATGTATATATATGTATACATTCACATATATTGTTTTATTTTGTGTGTGTGTTTTTTCCTTATTTATCTTATTATTATTGTTTCAGAGTGGAACAGGTGCACAACGCATTTCACTGTGCATTACACCATGTATAGCCTTGCTGGTGACCAATAAAAGACCTTGAATCCTTGAATCTTAAAACAAATTAACAAGTGGTACTTTCGGCGGGGTATTGCTGTCGATTGTATTGTATTGATAAAGTTGTTAATAATAGTGAACTTTTACATTTTCATGCTGTATGTGGCGCAGCAGCCTGAGTTCCCTGTAAGCTCGCTTGGCGTGGATGAGGGACTGGAAAGGCCGATACAGCTTCTTGATGGCCACCTTCTCCTTGGTCTTCTGGTCCATGGCGGAGCTAAACGAGAACGACGACAGCGTCAGTGACAGGACACGTGGTGGCTCGTCTAAGGGCTGCGATTAACACTAAGTACTAGTACTGGTTAATTAGAAAAAATAAAAATAAATTCCAATACGTGTGATTCACTGTTCAGTCTGTGAAATGATTGACATCCCAAGATATTTAAATAAGAGCCATTTAAAACAAAAAAAGAGCGTCAAATCCTTACACATAAGTAGCTGACACCAGAGAATATTTGGCTTCTTTTTTACTTATTACTGTTGACTAATCTTTAGCTCTACTGTATTTATGTTTTTTCTTTGCTTCCCATCTACTTTACATTATTATTGGGGTATTTTTACATTTTGGGGGAGTTTCTGTTGGAGTTCACAGGGTAACAAAACAAATCTTGACACACAGACGTCTGAAATATGCCATGAGAGAAAGAAAAAGGATAGCAAGAAACCTGTTTATCTATAATATCTGAAATACAACATTCAGATTAGCATTCAGGCCTGTTGTCCCTTCTGCTACATAATGATAAAATCAGCAACAACATCTGGTCTGTCAGTGGCTTATCATCAGATGAAAGTGTGTCTGAGATATCTTGGATTCCTGCAGGCTGCGTTGTCCTCCGTTGGCGGTGGAGATTCCTGTCATATTGGAGGACCTGCATTGACTTGCTGACTCGCCTCAGGCGGACAATAGTGCTTCTGTTAGCAGTTGTTGAGTGTAATCTGGGCCTCTCGGACTGCCTGCGACCGATTCTTGGAGTGGAATGCAGACTTAAGAGGTACATAAATCTAGACAGCCTGGAGGAAATCATTTGTGGTGCAAAGTGTTTTACTATTCAGACTGGACAAACTGAAGCACCTTAGATGATTTGAAAAACATAGCAGCCTAATAATAATTAATAACTATTTATAGAAGCTGGATGTGGATGATTGTAATATACCTTATTGTGTAAAACACAGTAGATGCTTATTTTTCTATAAGAGCTGCCTTTCCTCTGGACAGGGTTAGTACCAGGCAAGACTAAATAGTTTAATAATTACAGACTTGAGAACACTTATCAGTAGCTACATTATCAGAAAAAACAACAACAATGTACTTTGCTGGGAGTCACCCAAGCGGCACTTTCCTCGTCGGTGTACCCGAAGTCCTTCGCGCCCTCCCCGGGCAAAACTCACCACACTGTCCCGTAAGCTCCGGACCCGATGGACCGCAGCGTCGTATACCTCTCCGGGACGTCCCATGTCGTCTTCTGGATCTCTAGTCTGTGAAAACCCGGTCTGACGGGGGAATCCTTCACAGGAGACTCCATGGCGCTGTTTTTGTTTTTTAGTTTTCCAGTAACTACACCAGCTTGTTGCAGCCTCGTAGGTTCCACCTGACAGGTGAGGTGCAGCGGGGGAAGGTGAGCGCGGCTCCAGGAAACGCCCCCCCGGGGCTCTGCAGCCTGCTCCCGCCTCCAGAGAGGGAGCTGTCCGACAACATCAGCTGACAAAAAAAAAAATAAAAATATGTCGATATGCATCTGATCTGTCTGGTGTTAAATAACTTTTCACTCCTTCTCAAAGGCTGAGTCAGTCTCTGAATACAGGCCACTTTGTGACACAATCACAAGAACTGCAGCAACCCATGTTCAGCCCTTTAACTGTAGAAAACAACTGGAAAAGAAAAAAGAAAACAGGCTAAAGTTATCAGCTTGAAAGCTTAAACCATGTAAAAGATGCACAGATTGCAACTTTCCTTCATATCGTCACGGGGGGCAATCGGGGAACCCAGGAGCAGGTCATGACAGTAACCCCCCCTCTACGTGCGCCACCTGGCGCACAATGAGGCCGAACGGGCACTGAACAAGGTCCAAAATGAGCCGGGTGGGTGGAGGGGGTCCAGAGGAGGGACAAAAAAAAAAAAAAAAAAAAAGGTGTCCAGAACAGTCTGGCAGATAATCCGAAGTCTATAGGGGGAGAAAAAACAAAGCCGGCAGGCAGTCCAGAAATAGGTCATAAACCACAGTTCAAAAAACCAAAAGGTCCAGGTCCTGGCGACGGCAGGATCCCTCTGGGGGCCGGACTCGGGGCGGAAGCCGGCGGTGGGGGCCGGACTCGGGCCGGGAGAAGGCGACGGCGGAGCCCCTCTGTGGGGGCCGGACTCGGACCGGGAGACGGCGACGGCGGAGCCCCTCTGTGGGGGCCGGACTCGGGCCGGGAGACGGCGACGGCTGAGCCCCTCTGTGGGGGCCGGGAGCCCCTC